AAACGACAGTGGTACCCCTTACGTTTTTTTTTTTGGGCGAAAAATTAAGTTTCTCCAATCTTCCCAAAACTCTGGATTCTGATAGAGGGCCATGAGACTTAGACCTGAGTGCAAAAATGGAGGCTCTAGCCCCTTCCAGAGCTGAGATATCGAAACTCAAAAATTCGGCCCGAAAAAAACGACAGTGGTACCCCTTACGTTTTTTTTTTTGGGCGAAAAATTAAGTTTCTCCAATCTTCCCAAAACTCTGGATTCTGATAGAGGGCCATGAGACTTAGACCTGAGTGCAAAAATGGAGGCTCTAGCCCCTTCCAGAGCTGAGATATCGAAACTCAAAAATTCGGCCCGAAAAAAAAAACGACAGTGGTACCCCTTACGTTTTTTTTTTTGGGCGAAAAATTAAGTTTCTCCAATCTTCCCAAAACTCTGGATTCTGATAGAGGGCCATGAGACTTAGACCTGAGTGCAAAAATGGAGGCTCTAGCCCCTTCCAGAGCTGAGATATCGAAACTCAAAAATTCGGCCCGAAAAAAAAACGACAGTGGTACCCCTTACGTTTTTTTTTTTTGGGCGAAAAATTAAGTTTCTCCAATCTTCCCAAAACTCTGGATTCTGATAGAGGGCCATGAGACTTAGACCTGAGTGCAAAAATGGAGGCTCTAGCCCCTTCCAGAGCTGAGATATCGAAACTCAAAAATTCGGCCCGAAAAAAAAAACGACAGTGGTACCCCTTACGTTTTTTTTTTTGGGCGAAAAATTAAGTTTCTCCAATCTTCCCAAAACTCTGGATTCTGATAGAGGGCCATGAGACTTAGACCTGAGTGCAAAAATGGAGGCTCTAGCCCCTTCCAGAGCTGAGATATCGAAACTCAAAAATTCGGCCCGAAAAAAAAAACGACAGTGGTACCCCTTACGTTTTTTTTTTTTGGGCGAAAAATTAAGTTTCTCCAATCTTCCCAAAACTCTGGATTCTGATAGAGGGCCATGAGACTTAGACCTGAGTGCAAAAATGGAGGCTCTAGCCCCTTCCAGAGCTGAGATATCGAAACTCAAAAATTCGGCCCGAAAAAAAAACGACAGTGGTACCCCTTACGTTTTTTTTTTTGGGCGAAAAATTAAGTTTCTCCAATCTTCCCAAAACTCTGGATTCTGATAGAGGGCCATGAGACTTAGACCTGAGTGCAAAAATGGAGGCTCTAGCCCCTTCCAGAGCTGAGATATCGAAACTCAAAAATTCGGCCCGAAAAAAAAAACGACAGTGGTACCCCTTACGTTTTTTTTTTTGGGCGAAAAATTAAGTTTCTCCAATCTTCCCAAAACTCTGGATTCTGATAGAGGGCCATGAGACTTAGACCTGAGTGCAAAAATGGAGGCTCTAGCCCCTTCCAGAGCTGAGATATCGAAACTCAAAAATTCGGCCCGAAAAAAAAACGACAGTGGTACCCCTTACGTTTTTTTTTTTGGGCGAAAAATTAAGTTTCTCCAATCTTCCCAAAACTCTGGATTCTGATAGAGGGCCATGAGACTTAGACCTGAGTGCAAAAATGGAGGCTCTAGCCCCTTCCAGAGCTGAGATATCGAAACTCAAAAATTCGGCCCGAAAAAAAAAACGACAGTGGTACCCCTTACGTTTTTTTTTTTGG